AAGAAGAAGAAGAAGAAAAAGATGAAGAACGCTCCAGAGAAAATACTTTGATCCTCAATTTTGAAAATTACAGAATGACTACAATGTTTCCTACTCTGTCTTCATATACCCCTACCCAAAGCGGGTTAGGGTTCAGTTCTGACCGGCCCATATGTCTAAAATACGAAATAAAATACATAAAATAAAATAAAACTTCAGCAAAACGTGTCCGACTTGGCGCACGAAATCGACTAGCTTCCAATCCGAATTGGGCTTCGAGCTATTCATAAGAATTGTAGCCCTTTGTGTTATCTGAAAAACCCAACAAGAACGGAGTCAATCCGACAACTGTGGACCAAGATATGGCCAAAATACAGAAGTAACGTAAAGCTGAAAAATTCTGACGAAAATAAATTAAACCCAATCAAAAACTAAAAATGTAAATTAACTCAAAACATCATTATTTTATTCAAATAAATCCTAAAAATACTAATCAAGAGTAACAAATAAGTGTAATAAAATATGAGTTATCAATAGATAAGCTATTACCCAGTGAAAATGACTTAACCAAGTTAAGTGGCAAAAACATGAAAATGAGCCCTCATTTTCTTCCTCTTCGTCGAGCAAAAACTGAAAGGGAGGAGAAGAGAATAAACCTTGAAGCCTCAAACCCTAGTTCCATCATCTTTCAATCGATTTGAGTGATTCAAAAGCCTAAACCACTTAGAATCTTCCTCTCATCCTTAATCCTAGCTTGGTTTTGAGTGGGGAGCATTGTGGTGTGATATTTCTCTTCCCAAAATTCTGCCCATTTGAAGATTGAAAGTGTTTGGGAGCATTTCACTTCTTGGGGACTTAGGGAGCACTCATTCCATGGTAGTGCAATCATTTGTGGTAAGTTTCCACTCCTTCAGCTTTGTTTTCATGGAGTTTTATGATGGAGGAAGATGATGAATAGTGTCCTTGTGAATAATATGAGTTTGGGTTTGATTTAAGCTTAAGCCCTTTGTAAAAGTTGTTGTAAATGATAAATAAACGGTAGAAATGAGTTTAGATAGTCATTTAGTTATTGTTCAATAGATGGGAAAATTCATGCTTGGGCTTATGGATGTTCTAGCATTTTGAGCAATTAATGAGTTAGATGATTGATTGTGTCCTTGTGTTGCTAGGATTGAGGCAAGTGGACCAACTTTGAGTGACCACTCATTGGGGCAAGCTATGAAGCTTGATTAGCCCATTTGGATAGGTAAGCTTATGCCAATTGGTGGTGTAGAGTTGTTGTTTTGTTGATGGATATGTGGATATTCATTAAATTGTATTGATGGATTGTGTGACACCTTGGTGTAGGTGTGTATTTTGCAAGTTGTAACTTGAATTCAAAGTTGATTGGTTGCAAAACTGGTTGGCGAGCAAAGGTTGAATTGGAGCTTTGAGGTAAGCCTTTGAACCTTGGGTGTTAATCCCTTTATTGTTCCACCAAGCCCGGAATGGGTAGTGGTTATTAATAGTGTTGTATATGCAATAAGGTAGTTTAATGCTTTGTTATACGTATATGTATGCATTTTGTGTGGCATAGGATGGTGTTTCCCTATGTTTTGTATGTTGCATGACGATGCGTAATTCATACTTGGTAGTTTAGCTGGCCAGTAGGACTATTTTGCATCTGAGTATCCTTAGGACGATATGAGAGCTCGAGGGATGTCTCCTGGAGATGTTTTTACACACTGCATGGATATGTATTTATTGTATTATTTACTGATTATTCCTATTATACTGTGAGTGAACTATGGGGTGGAGAGATGCTCCAAGGACCCCTGGTTTACTGAGATGTATTTATATATCTCACCCCTTGTTATGGGGACCCCTTTTCAGGTAAAGATGTTGCAGGAGCCTCTGGTGGCAAATGGCCATACTTGGACTAGTTGATACATGAAGATTTTGCATCATTTTGGGTTATGCATGCCATTTTGTAGTTCCTATGTATAGGATTGATATTTGAAAGCCATTTGTTATATGTATGCTATGCTTTATTTGAGGGACTTAGCCTATGCTCATCTCCTTTGGTATCTCTTTTGTTGATAGGAGTCAAAGATTTGATCATAGTGTTTTGTATCTAAGTCCCCTGGTTATGTATTAAAGATTCTTGGATATTGTGTTTATTGTATATATATATATATGATGGAAGGTCATGGATGCTTCTTTTGATAAATGTGTACCTTGAAAGAACTAAGAATCAAGTAATGAAGTGGTTATACGAGGTCTATTAAGTGAAAGAAGACCTTTAGGTTGAAAATCCATGTAAAATTAAAGATATCATGTCTTGTTGTCCATTTTTCATATCCTATATGATAGATTTGGACCCTTGTGCCTTAATGGAAGTTGTAGATCTTTTTCTTAGCTTTCTAACGAGACCAAGATTGCGTCATTTGGATAAGTATATCTCCAGTTAGGGGCAAAATACTAAGGCTATGTGTAATCTCCAGAACTTTGGCGCTATTAGCGCCGTGGTGGCGCTAATCGCGCCAAGATACAGTGGGAAAACGCATTTTTGGCGCCATTCGCGCCATGATTGGCGCTGTTCATGCCAAATGTCTGGAAAGCTTCTGTTTCGTGGCGCTAATCGCGCCGGGCCCAGTGGGTTCAACACTCGTTTCGTAGAAAATTCATAACTTGGGCTACGGTGCTCTGATTTGAACGCGGTTTGAACCTACGTGTAGATAACGAATAGATCTATAACATATTGGAACATGAGGACCATATAAGTAATATAAAATTTCTTAGGTAACTAAAAGGTAAAGGTGTTTAGTGTTGAATAACAATAAAAAACGAGTTTTAAGCCTTGGTGGTTTAAGGAGACTACTTGGCACATTATGGTAACAACATCTGATCTAAATAAAACTTACAATAGGTGTTCCACCTATAGTTTAAGTTATAATTACATTATGAGAATTGTTTTAATTACGGATTTGATTTTAAACAAAAACATTTATAAATAATAGGGAAAAAGTTTATCCGTACTGTAATCCAATTGCTGTGATGATAACTGCGCTTAATGCCGTACGTAATGTTAAGATACCGGTTACAATCATAACTTGAATTAATATGGTAATAGTTTTTTTTATTAAAAATAGATAATTTACAAAATTATAAACGTGATTCTCCTTTCTATACTTGTCATCTTCCCCGTTCAGCATGTCATGTTTTTTTTTAGGATCCATTTCCGTTATGGATACTATTGAGATGAAATTTGGTCTGAAGAAGCGATCGAACCCACAGGGGACCTTCCACAGCACTTGCAGTTGCTTGATATATATTCGAAATTTGGTCTGATGTTGTACTCTATTCTCTTCCAAATACATATATGCTCCAACTTCCCTTCATCTTCACATACCACACTCAACGGTTAGTTGAGACCGATTCCGATTACTCTGAGCTTAATTTTCTTTTTATTTTTTAAAATTATTTTTATTGATGTTTTATTAACAATGTGCTTTTGTCAAATCTTTGGTCTGCAATTCTGATTTTGTTGGCAGCTAATTGGAGTTTTGTTTATGAATTTTTCTATTTTTTTTTTTTTTTGATTGTTTTTGTTTCATCTGTTTCCGATTGTGACAGTGTTTCCTGTGAAGAATCTTATTGAACGATGTTTAGTTTATGAGTTATAGTTTATGAATAACTGTGCATTGTTTTTCACATAGGACTTAGTAGTGGTGTGTTAAATATATTAATATGAAAATTATCAATGTAGTCTTATTTACTAGTTTAAGCTTCTAGGTTGAAAGAAGGGATCTGTGTGTGTATTATACACGCTTCTTCGAGCCCCTTGCATGGTGCTCTATGGTTTTCTCTGATATCAACATTGGTAACAAAAAAACAACCTTTGGTGATTTACATAAAATTATTTCTGACAACTTTTTGTTCACTGATTTGGTTGTGTCTTCAGACTTAGACTTGAGACTGGTTTCATGACCTTACTGCTCTCTTCATTTTTTTTCTTTCTTTCTCATTTTGGGATTAGATAATGATGGAACCCAATATTTACTCTGTTTATTGCTGTTAATCAATGGAGGCAAAGCCTCTTACAAACACCAATGGATACCAAAATAGCAACGTAACACAAAGATTGATCAGACACTAAAAGACCCTTTTCAAACTTACCCTTAGAACCAACAGACCTAGGCTCTAAGAGATCCCCAATTCTCCACTCACCAGATGCTCAATTCATGACCCCCACTCCACAAATTCCCCCTTCTAAGAATATTCTTGAACTAACTAACTCTCTTCCTTTTCTCTCTCTATAACGACTCCTATACTGTTATTACATTTATCCCTCATACGTCAGGCCCATCAGATAATGACACAGTTGTTCATCTTCGTCAAGAATAAAATAAAAGGAAAAAGTTCACCAATATCCCTGTGGTTTACTCCAGAATCATCTATACTCCTATGGTTTTTTTTATCACATATATCCCTGTGATTTTGTAAAAAGCTAAAAATCACAGGGGCATATGTGATAAAAAATATACCTTTTTGCAAATCACAGGGAAATATACCTTTGTTCATCTAGTTACTAAAATAGTCAACCATAAACTGAGTTAAGATTTATTCCTTCACATTAACCATTAGCGTGCAGAATTTCTGTTCCTTCAACTGTATACCTTTCTTGCCGTTCTATTTATTGAGAAGCTAGACGATATTCTCTGCATTCAGCACATGATTAATATGCTTGACAAAAAGGGAAAAAAAATTCACAGGTTTGTAGAAGCCAACGGACTTCCTTTCAAATCTAGTTGCTTCTAGCAACAACGGAATGCTTCACGCCACTCTTAAAACTTCAAACTATGCTATCCAAATGACTTGGTAAACACTAAAAACTTATTATATCATATGCAAATAACAAGCTAGCTTACCTCCAGATCCCTATGAAATTTAGCTGAAAAATAAAATAGTTGGATGTTGTTTCATCTGATGTAAAACCTTCATATTCTACACCTCCTGAAGCAAAAGACTGGTCCTCCATGTCAATTATCTAGTTTGTTTTTCTCAAGTGCTCTTGATATCTTTAATGATTTTAGCTCATCTATCAATTGCATCAAGTTGTTGTATGAGGATCCACCCTCCTCTATAGTCTTCTTGGCAGCATCACCAAGTTCTCTTGCTCTCCTCCTCATTTCTCTGCTCTCTTCTTCTCTTCCCATGAACCGTACCACAGCCTTCGCAATCTCTTCCCTTCTCACAATTGGATCCTCACCAATGCTGGCCCAAAACTTGTTTTCTTTTGATCCCACTGGGACTCCAATCTTCAAGACATCAACTAGCAATTTCTCATTGTAAAATTGCTCAGCAAACATAGGCCATGTGATCATTGGCAAACCAGCACACAAGCTTTCAAGAATGGAGTTCCAACCACAATGAGTCACAATTCCTCCTATGGCAGGGTGGTCCAATATGAGCAACTGTGGTGCCCAATTCCATATGATGTAACCCTTCTTGCTCTCTTTCATCCTGTTCTCAAACTCTTGCAAGAAATTGTCTCCATCTTTATCTCCATCTATTTTCCTAATTACCAAGATAAAATTATGACCAGAATTTTCAAGCCCGTGAGCAAGTTCAACAAGCTGAGCATGAGGGAGCCTGGTCAGGCTTCCAAAACTTACATATAACACAGACTCATTTTGCTTTGAGTTAAGCCAATTTAGCCACTCTGGCTCTTTTGCAAGTGCAAGTTCTTGGCTGTGTCCATCATTTGCCTTTTTTTCTCCACCATCCCTATTAACCCAAGCTGAAACTGGTCCTACACTCCAAGATTTGATCCCCTTTATGCTCTTATGAAGTTGCACATAATCACTTTCAAGTTCTTGAAAACTATTGTACAGTGCCCCATAGCTTCTGCCCTCTGATTCAAACATTGCTTCAAAATAGCCTGAGGCAGAACTCTTAGTCCTTATCCATTCTGCCAGCTGCAGCTTGGTCATCTCTATGTTATCAGGAAAACCAGGAATTGTAAACGTCTGGTTATCAGAGACTAAGCTTTCATGAGGTCTATATTTCCTTATAGAAGAACTCGCACAGTTGGAGAAATAGCTTGAGCTATAAAAGTAAAGCCTTGGAATACCTAGTTTTTCAGCAGATTCCACTGTCCAAGGATAAGACATGTCGGTCACTATACAATCCGGTTGCAGATCCTGAAACAGAAGCTCAATTTGATCTTTGAGCATCAACATTCCATGAGTGATTTTGCCAAGCATTTCTGGGGAAGTGCAATCTTTGATGTTTTCAATTCCATCAGGTAGACCAACTTGGGCTGCAGGGAATTGAATTACTTTAGTTCTGATTGGATATCCAGAGATGAAGTCAGCGTCTATGACTTTTTGGAATGTCAAAGCATTAGCTTGTGTAGTGATAATTGTAACACTAACACCATTCTTGGCAAATAGCCTTGCTGTGTCTATCATGGGGTTCATATGGCCCGGTGTTGGAAACGGAAGGAAATTGACATTGAGTTGATGGTGGGGTTGAAACTCCATTGCCACTGCAATCTATGTATGAGGTAGCACAACTAGAAGAAAAAATGCTGCTTCCGCAAGTAGCCTAAGAGGGAGAGTTCTGAGAAAACCTATGAATCAATATTTAAGTGTATGCCGGCCAAATACCAATAGAGTATTCCAAATATTCTAGAGCGTAAAATTTTATATTTTCCTAAAAAACATACAAGGCCTGCATCTCTCTTTCAATCTTCCTCAAGCACATTTTCTTTATATTATATGACCATTGACTTAGAACAAGTATCATTTTGTGTTTGTCTTTTCCCTTATTTGTTTGATCATTAAGCCGGTTCTTGCTTTCTCCGATGCTCTTGACATATTTTAGTTATTAGTTTCTGCTTTGTACGGCTTGTGGGGTTAGATTGCAAAGTCGTCCCCCCAATAAGCTGGACAAAGCATGTGATGTGCATGTGCTTTACGGCATGCATAACACCCTAAACTTAACATTAAGAAACACTAATATTACAAGATCTCATCATATTATATAGGTCTGCCATAAACGAACTAGTTAATTCCTATAAGAATAACGTGAAAAACTTTAAAATACTTGATATCACTATTTACAAGATGATAATTAACCGGCTAATCTGTACAGAGGTTTCCTCTCTGTTAGTATGTTGAAATTTAAACTTCTAACCTTTCTCTGGCCGTGCCAGAATACAAGTCAAACGATGCAACTAACATGCAGCATGACCTAAATTTATAAGCATAAAGCAATGTGGTTATACAAATAGGCTTTTAACTCCTTATTTTTATTTCAGTTTCCACGCACTCACATGCAGGTACAACAATGGAAACATTAAGTGTGTACATGCACGTTACCCATGAAGGTATTGATGGTGCGAATGGATTGGCAAAGCATGTGCGTATGCTTCACATTAAGTCTCTTTTTTCTTTTCTTTTTTCCGTGGCTTTGACAAAATAAATGATAGTCATTGACAGTAAAAATCATATGGTAATTATCTCTATTTAGAATTAAATTAAACATTTTGAATAAATGTTGATTTCATTTTATCTTTTAAATTAAATGTTAATCTTTAATTGAGTCAGTGACCCATTAAATAACATGTTGGAGTTTAGTAGCATCGTTTTGTTTTCCTTAGATTCGTTTTGGTTAGTGATTAGTTCGTAAGTTATTATTATCTTCAATTTTATTTTATTCTGAGTAAAGCAAATATTTTAAATTTTATCAATAATTTACATAATTAATTTAAAATAAGCATTTTAATATATATATATATATATATATATATATATATATATATATATATATATCAGTTGTGTAATAAAATTAAGTTTTCATCATTTTCCATGTATATTCAATCAAACTCCTTAATCTGGATATCAATTTTTGAACACCAGTGCATAAAATAAAAGAAATTTTTATTTTTATTTTCTAATTTTCATAAAATTAATTGCGACTCTATACTTTATTGTATTTTAAAAATAAATTTTTGGTCATTTCCCATGGCTTTGAATGTTCATGGACGAGAGCTGAAGTTTTGATCACTTAATTTTTAAACCTTTCTCACCTATGTATACTTGACACAATGGTACATGATACATGGCACACAAAAATTATATAATGGTAAATTGATAACGGGTAAAGATCATTTTACATCATTATAAGTTATATTAATTTTGAACGTTAATCTTATTTATATCTAACGACTATGGTTTATAAGATATGTAAACCGTTAGATATAAGCAAATTAATGAACAAGATTTGATACAAGAATAACCTGCTCCATTAATTAGATCAGTGATATATTTTACGAGACAGACCAAAGCAGAAACGAAAGAAGACCTTTATCTTCGCTTAAAATCTTCAAACTATGCAAGTTGTTTCATCTTATTCAAAACATTCATCACCTACACCACCTAGTGAAGCACCAAGACTAGTCCTCCTCTATTTCAATTATCTAGTTTGTTTTTCTCAAGTGATCTTGATATCTTCAATGATTTTAGCTCATCTATCAACTGCATCAAGTTGTTGTATGAGGATCCACCTTCTTCTGTAGACTTCCTGGCAGCATCACCAAGTTTTCTTGCTCTCTTCCTCATTTCTGTGCTCTCTCCTTCTCTTCTCATGAACCGTACCACAGCGTTGGTGATCTCTTCCCTTCTCACCATTGGATCCTCACCCATAATGGCCCAAAACTTGTTTTCTTTTGATCCCACTGGGACTCCAATCTTCAAGACTTCAACTAGCATTTTCTCATTGTAAAATTGCTCTCCAAACATTGGCCAAGTGATCATTGGCAAACCAGCACTCATGCTTTCAATAATGGAGTTCCAACCACAATGAGTCACAATTCCTCCTATGGCAGGGTGGTCCAATATGAGCAACTGTGGTGCCCAATTCCATATGATGGAGCCCTTGTTGCTCTCTTTCATCCTGTGCTCAAACTCTTGCAGGAAACTGTTTCCATCTTCATCTCCATCTACTTTCCTAATCACCAAGATAAAATTATGACCAGAATTTTCAAGCCCATGAGCAAGTTCAACAAGCTGAGCATGAGAGAGTCTGGTTAGGCTTCCAAAACATACATATAACACAGACTCATTTTGCTTTGAGTTAAGCCAATTTAGCCACTCTGGCTCTTTTGCAAGTGCAAGTTCTTGGCTCTGTCCACCATCCCTATTAATCCAAGCTGAAACTGGTCCTACACTCCAAGATTTGATCCCCTTTATGCTCTTATGAAGTTGCTCATATTCACTTTCAAGTTCTTGAAAACTATTGTACAGTGCCCCATAGCTTCTGCCCTCTGATTCAAACATTGCATCAAAAGATTCTGTGACTTCTTTAACACTCTCAGGCCTTACCCATTCTTCAAGCTGCCGAGTGGTCATCTCTATGCTATGAGGTAAACCAGGAATTGTAAACTTCTGAGTATCAGAGACTAAGTTTTCATGAGGTTTATGCTTACTGACAGAATACATGGCACAGGTTGAGAAGTAGCTTGAGCTGTAATAGTAAAGCCTTGGAATACCAAGTTTTGCAGCAGATTCCACTGTCCAAGGATAAGACATATCAGTCACTATACAATCCGGTTGCAGATTCTGAAACTGAAGCTCAATTTGATCTTTGAGCATCAATATTCCCATACTAATTTTACCAAATATTTCTGGGGAATTGCCATCTTTGATGTTTTCAAACCCATCAGGGAGACCAACTTGGGCTGCAGGGAATTGGATCAGTTGAGTTCTGATGGGATGTCCACAACTAAAATCATTGTCTATGGCTTTTTGGAATATCAAAGCATTAGCATGGGTAGTGATAATGGTAACACTAACTCCATACTTGGCAAATAGCCTTGCTGTGTCTATCATGGGGTTCATATGGCCAGGGGCTGGATATGGAAGAAAAATGACATTGAGTTGGTGGTGGGGTTGAAACTCCATTGCCATTGCAATCTATGAGAGAAGTCTTGGTCTCTGAGGGATAAAGAGAATGGTTTTCAAGCCTATGTCTGCAAACACAAGAAGAAGAAGAATATCAAAAGCAAACACTACAAGAGAACACTTCATTCTTTGCAATCACAGGATAGGCCTATAAATACTTGGAGGAAAAAGATAATAGAAATCTACCTGGTCCCGAAAATTTCCTTAAAAACTCTTTTCCTTTTCTCAAAAAAAAAAAAAAAAAAAAAAAATAGTGTGTGTTTTTGTGCGTGCTGTGTGCTTTTGGAGTGTGATGATAATCTGTGATAGCGGCTATGAATCAATTTTTAAGTGTATATAGAGTATTAGAATATTGTAGAGCGTAAAGTTTCATATTTTCCAAAAACACAAACAATCTCTGCATCTATGTTCCTCAAGCAAGTTTCATGCCCTTAGTGTTATTTATTCTCTTTATATGACCAATTGACTTTGAACAAGTATCATTTTGTGTTTGTCTTTTGATCATTAAGTCGGTTTTTGCTTTCTCCGTTGCTCTTGACATATTTCATCAGTTATTAGTTTCTGCTTTGTTCGGCTTGTGGGTGCTTAAACATGTTCCTATATAAAAAGCCTTAGTTAGATTGCAAAGTCATCCCCCCTATAAGCTGGACAAAGCATGTGATGTGCATGTGCATAATGGTGTGCATAACACCCCAAACTTGACATTAAGAAAAATTAATATTACAAGATATCATCATATCATATAGGCTTGGCAAAAATGAGTCAACTCATGGGTTGGCTCGTAACCCGGCTAAAATGAGCCGGGTTGGGTTAGGGAAAATAAGTTAGTAACTCGAGTCAGCCCGACTCGTTTCAGCTCGAAAAAAACCGAGCCAACCCACGGGTCAAACGGGTTGGCTCGCGGGTTATCGTTTTTTTAATATAAAAGTATAAAAATTAATGAATGTAAAGTGGAAAGCTAAAACCTAAAATTCCAAATTCCAAAGACTCAAACGAAAATACCCTAGAGCTGCCAATAAGTCCAAAACCGTGCATTAAGGACCTTTTTTATAGTACGTTGACAGTGTGAATGTGGTGCCAACTATCAATAAGTCCAAGTCCAAATGCAAAAGGAATTTTCTATGGTTTATCTGTATAGTATCTTTGTATTGAATGAATTAATAATTTAGGGGAAAAATTTAGAAGTTACAGCATCAATGTAATTTTTTTTTTCATTTTTCGAGCCAACCCTAACTCAACTCGGGTCGGGTCGGGTCGAGTTTTCTGGCTCGTTTATTTTTTGAGTCATCCCTAACCCGATTCATTTTTTTCAGGTTGAACGCGGGTTGAGACGGGTTGAGCTGGGTTGGCCCGTTTTGCCAACCCTAATATCAGATAGGTCTGCCTTAAACAACTAGTTAATTCCTGTAAGAATACCGTGAAAAACTTTAAAATACTTGATATCACTATATACAAGATGAAAAACTTTCTCTAGCATGCCCGAGTACAAGTCAAACGATGGAACTCTCATGCAGCATTACCTAAATTGATAAGCACAAAGCAATGTGTTTATACAAAAAAGCTTTTAACTCCTTATTTTTATTTCCACGCACTCACATGCAGGTACAACAATGGAAACATTAAGTGTGTACGTGCACGTTATCCATGAAGGTATTGATGGTGCGAATGGATTGGCAAAGCATGTGCGTATTCTTCCCATTGTTGTCCAGTTATATTACTTGCTAGTCTATTCTTTCTTTCTTTTTTTCCGTGACTTTGACAAAATAAATGATAGTCATTGACAGTAAAAATAATTTTGATTATTAGTAAAATTATATGGTAATTCTCTCTATTTAGAATTAAAGTAAATCTTTTGAATAAATATTGATCTCATTTTATCTTTTAAATTAAATGTTAATCTTTAATTGAGTCAGTGACCCATTAAATAACGTGTTGGAGTTTAATAACATCGGTTTGTTTTCCTTAGATTCGTTTTGATTAGTGATTAGTTTGTAAGTTATTATTATTTTTTACATGTTTGATTTGTTTTCTTAGCTGTAATGCGAAGTAAATTTATATTAATCCATGATGAAGTAAATTTCTTTTGAACATGTCATTTTTATTTTAAATTAAAATCAACCAACTAATACTTATTTTATAATAAAACAAAATACATGGTTTTGGAGTTCCATTTGCATTATGTGATACTTCAGAAGGAAATTTTACCCATCAAGCCAAAATTTTATTTTTGCAATTTCATTTCTTTTATATATTATGTATGGTTTGTTATTATCTTCACTTTTATTTTATTGGAGTAAAGCAAATATTTTAAAATTTGTCAATAATTTACATGATTAATTTCAGATAAGGTATTTTTTTTTTTTAAATATCAGTGGTGTAATAAAATTAAGATTTCATCATTTTCCATGTATATTCAAACTCCTTAATCTGGATATCAATTTTTAAACACCAGTTCACAAAATAAAAGAAATTTTTAATTTTTCCTATGTCCCCGATTTATACTTTACTTGACACAATGGCACACCATACATGGCACACCAAAATTATTTAACTGTAAATTGATAAGGGATCAGGATCATTTTATACCCGTGTAAGTTACATTTTCAATTTTGACAGTTCATCTTATTTATATCTAACAACTATGATGTATAAGATATGTGTGTTGTTAGATACAAACCAATAAACAAGATTTGGTATAAGAATAACCTACCACAGTTATAAGGCCAGTGATATATTTTGCTAAACACACAATCAGAAACGAAATTTTATTCATCAGAACACCTTTATCTTAGCTTAAAATCTTCAAACTATGCATGTTGTTTCATCTTATTCTAAACATTCATACACTACACAACCTAGTGAAGCACCAAGACTTGTCCTCCTTCATTTCAATTATCTTGTTTGTTTTTCTTCTCAAGTGATCTCGATATCTTCAATGATTTTAGCTCATCTATCAACTGCATCAAGTTGTTGTATGAGGATCCACCTTCCTCTATAGTCTTCCTGGCAGCATCACCAAGTTTTCTTGCTCTCTTCCTCATTTCTGTGCTCTCTTCTTCTCTTCCCATGAACCGTACCACAGCTTTAGTGATCTCTTCCCTTCTCACCATTGGATCCTCACCCATAATGACCCAAAACTTGTTTTCTTTTGATCCCACTGGGACTCCAATCTTCAAGACATCAACTAGCAATTTCTCATTGTAAAATTGCTCTGCAAACATAGGCCATGTGATCATTGGCAAACCAGCACTCATGCTTTCAAGAATGGAGTTCCAACCACAATGAGTCACAATTCCTCCTATGGCAGGGTGGTTCAGTATGAGCAATTGTGGTGCATAATTCCATATGATGTAGCCCTTCTTGCTCTCTTTCATCCTTTGCTCAAACTCTTGCAGAAAACTGTCTCCATCTTCATCTCCATCTATTTTCCTAATTACCAAGATAAAATTATGACCAGAATTTTCAAGCCCGTGAGCAAGTTCAACAAGCTGAGGATGAGGGAGCCTGGTCAGGCTTCCAAAACTTACATATAACACAGACTCATTTTGCTTTGAGTTAAGCCAATTTAGCCACTCTGGCTCTTTTGCAAGTGCAAATTCTTGGCTGTGTCCATCATTTGCCTTTTTTTCTCCACCATCCCTATTAACCCAAGCTGAAACTGGTCCTACACTCCAAGATTTGATCCCCTTTATGTTCTTATGAAGTTGCACATAATCACTTTCAAGTTCTTGAAAACTATTGTACAGTGCCCCATAGCTTCTGCCCTCTGATTCAAACATTGCATCAAAATATTCTGTGAGTTTTTTATCACTCTTAGTCCTTACCCAATCTTCAAGCTGCAGAGTGGTCATCTCTATGCTATGAGGTAAACCAGGAATTGTAAACTTCTGAGTATCAGAGACTATGCTTTCATGTGGTTTATACTTTCTGACAGAATACTGGGCACAGGTTGAGAAGTAGCTTGAGCTGAAATAGTAAAGCCTTGGAATACCAAGTTTTGCAGCAGATCCCACTGTCCATGGATAAAACATATCAGTAACTATACAATCAGGTTTCAGATTCTGAAACTGAAGCTCAATTTGATCTTTAAGCATCATTATTCCCATACTAATTTTACGCAGAATTTCTTGGGAAGTGCCATCTTTGATGTTTTCAATCCCGTTAGGGAGACCAACTTGGGCTGCAGGGAATTGGATCAGTTGAGTTCTGATGGGATATCCACAACTGAAATCACTGTCTATGGCTTTTTGGAATATCAAAGCATTAGCATGGGTAGTGATAATGGTAACACTAACACCAAACTTGGCAAATAGCCTTGCTGTGTCTATCATGGGGTTCATATGGCCAGGGGTTGGATATGGAAGAAAAATGAGATTGAGTTGGTGGTGGGGTTGAAACTCCATTGCCATTGCAATCTATGAGAGAAGTCTTGGTCTCTGAGGGATAAAGAGAACGGTTTTCAAGCCTATGTCTGCAAACACAAGAAGAAGAAGAATATCAAAAGCAAACACAAGAGAACATTTCATTCTTTGCAATCACAGGATAGTCCTATAAATACTTGCTGGAAAAAGATAGTAGAAACCTACCTGGTCCAGAAAATTTCCTTGGAAACTCTTCCTTTTCTCACAACATATAGTGTGTTTGTGTGTGCGTGCTGTGTGCTTTTGGAGTGTGATGACAATCTTTGATTTGGGCTATGAATCAATTTTTAAGTGTATGCTGACCAATATTGACTATTAAAATATTGTAGAGCGTAAAGTTTCATATTTTCCAAAAACACAATCTATGTTCCTTAAGCAAGTTTCACGCCTTCAGTGTCATTTATTCTCTTTATATACCAATTGACTTTGAACAAGTATCATTTTGTGTTTGTCTTTTGATCATTAAGTCGGTTCTTGCTTTCTCCGTTGCTCTTGACATATTTTAGTTATTCGTTTCTGCTTTGTTCGGCTTGTGGGGTCAGTTTATTGTTTTGTTTTTATTGGCACTCTAACATGTTCCCCCTAGAGTGCAAGGAGAAATGTACAATGTTAATGGGTGAAAAACAAATGAGTTTCCAAATTAAGTATTTTGAACTAAGCAATTATTATTAGATCAAAAATTATATAATTGTTAGCAAGCTGATAATTCCCAGAAATAGAATTATTCAGACTTTATAGTATGTTTTATTGGGTTGCTTTATCCCTTCTTTTCCTTAAAAGTGTTATCATAAGAAAGACTGTTGAGGAATCTAAATGTGAGTGGATAAAAAGTCTCACATTAGTTAAGAATGGATTAAGTGAATATCATATAAGTGAAAGGACTCATACACCTAATGACTTAAGGTTTTAAGTTTGATTGTCATGTCATATCTTTGCTCACTTAACTCATGAATAACGATCTTTTTCCACCGTGAGCTCCTCTCGAAACAAATAATAGTTTTAACTGCTAACTATTATTTGGTTGCAACAAAGTTCAGTTTGTTAATGAACAGGTGAAGTTAGTTTAGTAGTTTTTTCAGTTGCATGTGATACACCATTCATGTACTTTTTTCAGATGCTCTCCTATATAAATAAGGATGAGCCACTGTGTTGTAATTCATTCTTTTCATACATGCAATTCATGTGTACTGCCATTTGCATGTGGAATTGTGATTATGTGATCCGATTGAGCAATATACTGACGCTCGGTCTTAATTTAAAATGGGGATAGATAACCCATTAATATTGAGCCTGTGGAACAATTTAAAATGTGTCCAACATTTCTAAGCCTATTATTCATGGACCCAAAAAAAAAGGGCTTTTACTCAAAGGCGAATGCCCAACTTGAGGACCATCATTCCCTCATTCTCTGTTATCATTTCAAACAAACAGTCCATATTTAAAACTACATGTTTGACTTACTCTTAAATATAATGGCCTGTAATTTATACTTTTATTGTTTGTAATTTTTTATTATATAATAGTATATTTTATATTATCATAATTTATAAAATAGATTATTAACACAATTTTAAAATGGGTTTGTTTTTTCTAAAGTTACTTTAGATAACTTTATCTAATGTTCTTGGAAACGACGTCGTTTTGGGACGGAAATCATGGTGTTTTTGTAATTTTAATTTATTTCAGGGTTATAATAGTCTTTATCATTCTAATTTTTTAATTCTTCAACCTCAAAACGACGTCGTTTCGATGAACATTAGACAAAATTGTCTAAAGTAACATCAGAAACTTTTTTCCCTTTTAAAATTTATCAACACAACAATAGACTATTAGTAAGCTAAGCATGAGTAGTGGTAAGCTACCATATGTAAAATTTACCCCAGAAAATTAGTGTACAAAACATTATTACTAATCAAGGATCTCTCTTAAATGTGTATGTAACCCGAGAGATCAAAGCCCATAAATATATATATATGACCATGAAGGAAGAAGGGTAGATCAATAGAAAAACCCATCACCTTCATCCATCATTATTTGTTAAAGAGGGGCATCTAGCTGGCTGTCCCAATAGGGAGGATAAGAGAGACAAGCTATGTCATTCATGTCATGTGAAGCCTTTTAATTGAAAAGCTACCAAAAACTATGGCCACAGTCCCCACTCTTTGTTTTCTTCCCATATTCCACACAAAACATTGCTATTGCATCAATGTTATTGTTCTTTTTTAATCAGCAAGTACAGTTAAATTCCTTTTGTAGATGCATAATGGTACATATAAATTTAATTCAATTAGATCACTTAAATTCAAATAGTGTTGTTACTCCAACAATTTTTTCACTAGATTTCTCTTTGTTGGTAGGGTAAGAACATAAGTGGGTTTATTGTTTATATTAGAGTGGGTCCATTTTGATGTGTTATGTCTTACCTTTTATTATCTAATGCACCGCACCCTTTGACATGATCTCAAAGCATGGAAGCTTAGCTTTCTCTCATTTGGCTCCCACTAATTTGTCATTGGTATCTGATGGAGAATTATTTGTGGGTGAGAAAGAAGGAGGAGGAATTCAATGGCAAGGACATATAATTATTCATTTTTCTATTATTATAACGCATCGCAAATTATATTTATGGAAAAAATGTGAGAGAAAAAGATAGATAAGGGAGGGGAGAGAGAGTGGACAAAAAAATATAAAGGTGTGGGTCGCACCTTTTTATGAGAGTGAAATAACACAAGTTGTGTCATTTAAAAGGATAAACATTCTTCCTTATATTTATTTTGTTTTATTATGTTAATTTTAAATTTATACCCTATGTAGTACCGATACTGACACGGGACACATGACACGATATATAATACCTCAAACTTAAGCATTTAATTGATTAATTTTAATTAAGTAATTAAGTATGTATTAGTGAGTAAAATTAAGTATAAGGCCTAATTAAGTGAGTTTGGGTCACTTTTGAGGTAAAAAGTGTACTCAGTAGAAATTAAGGGGTATAAATGGTGTAGGCAAAAGTACCCAAAATATAAAAATAAAAATGTAAATACTCCTAGAAAAATATTCCAGACCTATGGGTAAAGTTTGGTGACGAATGGAGTGGAATAGATAGGTGAACTAATACCCACTTAACTTATGTTAAGTGAAAAAGCAAACAAAAACCCAATTTCACCCCCCCCCCCCCCACACAAACCCGTCGAGCTCCAGAAGAAAGAAAAGAGAAGGAAGAAAGAAAGGAAAAGAAGGAGAAGGAGAGAAGGAGAAGGGGAAACCCTAGAGTGAGCAATCATTGACTATTTTGAGTGATTCCAAAGCCTTACACACTCCAAATCTTCCCCTCTTTCATAATCCTAGCTTGGTTTTGAGTGGGAGTCTTTGTGGAGTGGGATATTGTCCTCCAAAAATTCGACCCCTAGGAGAAATTGAGGTGTTGGTGGCTTCTACCTCCATGGGAGCTTGATGAACCCTCATTTCATTGTTGTGTGATCCTTGGTGGTAAGTTTCCACCCTTTTTCACACAAATTCCTTGAGTGCTTTGCATGATTTAGGTTTTGATGAATAGTGATTTAGGATTTTATGTTAATGTGAGTAGATTGGCTATGTTCAAGGAAGAATGAGGCTTAGAGTATGTTGTGAAAAATGCTAGGAATGACATTTAATCGGTAGAAATGAGTTTATAGTGTTATTTAGTATGCTTTGATGTTTGGAGAAATCTAGGCTTGGAACTATGGATTTCCTTGCATTGTTAGCATTGTTTGATTGTATTCCTTGTGTTGATAGGATTGAAGCAAGAGGACCAAGTGGAGTGACCAACCCTTGGGGTTGTGTGCAATTGAGGAAAACTCAAGAGGAAGGTAAACCTTTGGACCTTGGGGTTGATCCCATTGAGTGTTCCACCATACTCCATTGAGGAGAAATGGTAATGAGATGTGATATGTAATTATGATAGTAATTGTATGCTCATGCATTGATTCATGCATTGATACATGTTATGATTGATTGATGATTATTGGTTGATGTTTGATTGTTTAAGAGTAATTGAGGAATGGTTATAGAAGTAGCAATAATGAATGAGGTAATGGTTGAGGATTGTGATTGAGGTTATGAGTGATAGTATTATGATGAGGATGATTGGTAGGAACTTCCCTTTGAAACAGCCCTATATGGATCTCCATGTGGTTAGAGCCTAAGAGGAACAACCCTATGTGGATCCCTCTTGGAGGTTCCTAGATTGGGGAAAGGACTTCCCTTGGAAACAGCCCTAGGTGGATCTCCATGTGGTAAGAGCCTAAGAGAAACAACCCTTAGTGGATCTCTCTTGGAAGTCCATGTGATGCTTATGGATAAGAATGCGTTAAGCTATTATGATTATGTGTACATCGAAAGTGAACCTTAGGGTGGAGTGATCTCCAAGGACCTCTGGTTTACTGTGATATATTCGTATATCTCACCCCGTGTTGTGGGGCATCATTTCAGGTACTGATAGAGGTGAGGTTGATCGAGGCAAGAAGCATGAGTAGACTGTACCTGATAGCTGGATATTTTGAGTTGCATGCCATTTATAATTGCTATATGTATATTTTGATGTCACAATATGTATTTTGAGGGACTTAATGCATGATCATTGTAGTGATGAATGCCTTGTTGTAAATGGCTTATAGCTTTGATCATGTTCCTTTTGTAGCTAAGTCCTTTGGCATGTATATGAGATTTGTAATTAAGACATGATGTAATATTGTAATTAATGGAGATGTACGTATGATGAAATGATATGAATGCTTCTCTTGTGTATGAGTACCTTGAAAGATTAGAATCCATGTAAAAATAAAGATATCCTATCTTGTGGTCCATGTTTCATATCTTATATGATAGATTTGGACCCTTGTGTCTTAATGGAAGTTGTAGATCTTCTTCTTGGCTTTCCAATGAGACCAAGATTGTACAAATAGGAGTTGTATAACTAAAGTTATGGATGAAATACCAAAGGAGGTCAAATTGCCCTATGGAGGAGGCTTAAGCCTGAAAATGGAGGCTTAAGCTCGCTCAGGGGGCTTAAGCGCCCTGATGCACCTGTGATGGCCAAAAACTCTCTGCCGGTGGGCGCTTTAGCGCCCTGGAGCGCGCTTAAGCGCCATTGGTGGCCTAAAAATCCCATTTTCCTCTGCCTTTGGGCGCTTAAGCGCGCTCTGCCGTGCGAAAAATTGGGTCGTGGAGGGCGCTTAAGCACCCTCAGCGCGCTTAAGCGCGCAGCCCGTTTTCAGCATACACATGATTTAGTAAAATTGGCATAACTTGAGCTATAGAGCTCCAAATTGGGTGCGGTTTGAACCTACGCGTAGCTAACAAAGAGATCTAAAACATAGTGTGA